ACAGTGGGGGGCCCCGGTTTAGCGATCCCTAGTGTCACGACGAAACGTGGCCGCTATTCAGGGCAGGTCGCTAAACCGAACTAACAGTTATATAGCAGCTATACTACCGGTGTGCGGCGGTGCCGCGTGATTTTGCGGTCGATAAAACAGGACATGTCGTCAAAAACAGGGGGTCGCTAAGCCGAGACCCCCACTGAACCGCAGAACGGCAGCGAGGTGAAAAAAAAACAGGAAAAAAAATAAAATGTGTCGTGTTAATCCCTATCATTCTGAACGCCAGTTGTACACCTGTTCGGCATATTTGGACTCACCAGCTAGGGTAACACAGCAGCCTGCCTAACCGCCGCACCAGAGAAAAACAATCAGCCGGTTAATCGCTGTGTGTATGCACGCATACGGCCAACCAAACCTAACCAGGAATAAAAAATAAATCACACCACACCGCTTGTGCATACAACACACCACCGATTAAACCACACCATCCATCCCCCAAAAAATAAACACCAACACCACCAAGAACATCACAAGATGCTCTTACACTCAACAATACAAGATATGTGTGTGTGTGTGTTTGCCTGCCCGGCTTATCGTGTGGACACGGTCAATCACACGGACGCCGCTTGAGCGAGTAGAAAACAATACTATAACAGCGCAACCCCACGAAAAAATAACCAACACGAAGAACATCACAATATTCTCAAATACTCAACAGAAAACATAGAAACATAGAAGTAGTTTATTGTTGATAGAAGTGGTTTATCGTTGAACGATAGAAAACAGAAGAAAAAAAAACAGCTGCAAACAACCCCCCCCCAAACTCCCGCTTCCTCCACACAGTCTAGAGAACGAACCTCATCGAGTAGCCGTAGTCCCGGCCGTCAAAGAACGCCTCCTTTGCCTCCGACACCATTGCCGAGTCGGCCGGGTGCGGCGCCATGATCCTGTCGATGGCGGCCGGCCAGTCCCCCTCCAGCAGCAGCAGCCCCACGTCCAGGTTGTTGGTGCCGTCGCGACCGAACCGCTGCTCCCCGAAGAAGTTGACGAACCCCTGGGTTGGGTTTGTGTTTTGCGTGTGTGATTGGTGTGTGTTAGGACGTGCTAGATTTGTGGGTGTGTTGTTGCCTTTAGTGTTCGTGGCGTTAACCGGCTGACCAATGAAAAGACTGTCAATGCGTGGGTGCGTTTGTGTGTGTGTTTTTGGGTAGTACCGTATGATAGTGTCGACAGCTGCTCCCGGAAGAAGTTGACGAACCCCTGAGTTTGTTCTTTGAGTTCCTTTTTTGTTTTCTAAATTAGCATCGACCGTGCTAAACCAACCGGCTTATCAATGAAAAGACGCCAGTCTTGTCGTGGCGGGATAAAAAAACATGAGCATATTATAATCAAAGGGCGAGGCTTCTACAGACAGGGGGGACGCAGGTTCTTTCGTACGTGTTTTCTGTGTTTGGACCGTGCTAAACGTTGTTGTGTGGTTGTTTTCGTGTTGGGTGTGTTTCGTGTTTGGACCGTGCGACACGTGTTTGTGTGTGTGTTTTTATTATTAGCATCGACCGCTGTAACCGGCTGACCAATGAAAAGACGTCAGTGTTAGTGCGGTTGAAAACGTAAAAAAACTTCTAAATGCCATTAACTGGGACCCCGTGAGGGGGCGGCATGGGGGAGATTATTATACTCTCCGGATCAAAGACAGAAACGGTAGCAACAGTTTTGTGTGTGTGCGTGTGTGTTTTGTGTTTTGTGTTTCTTGTTTGTGTGCGTCTACAAGCAACCGCCGACACCACAACACAAGCGGGAGAGAGAGAACCCCCCCCCCCCCCCCCCCCCCCCCCCCCTAGGGAAAAAATTTTTTAATCCCCTTTGGCAAAA